TATACAACAAACTAATAATATGTTTGTTATATTCAGTATTGAAGTCAATTGCGTGTCGCTACAATAATTTAACACCATAAAACAATCATACATCGCTTTGTTTTACATTATAATTATTTAACATGATAATTTCTACACTAACAATTACATATTTACTATATTCGGCACTACAATTATTAAACATGCCAACAATTGCATATTTTCTATATTTGGGATTAAATTGTTAATAACTTGTTGAGCATACTTATACAGGGTATAATGATAATTTTACACACTATATTAAGCTGGCCCCAGATCTACAAATTTAGATAAGTAGTATAAAATTATGCTGGGTTTACAATAAACATGCAGGAAATTAATCATGTTTGTGGGACTGGTTTGCAATAACTTTATTAGATAAAACAAGTTTGAGAGATCTATTTCGGGTATTACAAGTATATGATTTAATTTTCTGACAATAGAAATGTATAACATCTACCATTTAAAATCATCCCGGCCAAGATAAACAAATCCGAGATATACAAATCTGAGATATACGAAGTCAGTTAATTATACAAAATTTCAGACATAATACCAATTCGAGTTTGGTTATAATAATTTTTTTGAGTGACATGAAATAGAAAATGGTATGAACTCTGGTTAAAGTTTGGTTATTCATTCTTATAATAAATATATAATAAAATATAAATATGGGTTGAACTAAAGTTGAACTCGGGTTGAACTTAGGTTAAAAATAGTAGAATGGACAGATGCACAAACACATACTCTAATCGAAAAACGAAAAAATAAAAATATAGAGTACCATAGCCATGGAAGAAATCAAAACATATTTTGAAATAGTATTGCAAATAGAATCAACCAAGAGCATAATACTAATTATACTGGTTATTATTGTAAAGAAAAATTTTCGAATCTTGTTCAGAGTTATAATATAAGTTCGTACTATAAAGCATTATTTTTTTATCTGGCTTCTATTAACATAATTAAATTACTCAATTAGGCGATATGTTAAAATATATCAGGTAGTCATGAAGCATGTAGAAATCGAATGGATGTGCAATACTTTGATGAGTTTCGTATATATTTTTGGGAGAGGTCTGAAGATGAATTCGATAGAATCCATACTCTTAATATCTCAAACCATAGGTGGAATAGAGATGTAGAAAATACAACACCAGTACTACCTATTGAGGAAGTTAAGCATGTATTGAGTATGAGATCTTCTGTTGAACAAATAAACTAGTCTTCATCTATTATTAGTAGAAGGAGTCAAAGATATTCACCATATCCCGCTTCACCCCATGATAACACTAATATAAACAACCCTGGTATGAGAAATTCCAAGCAAAATATTAGCGTTCTCTTGCCTCCAATTGAAACATTATCTCCTCAACCACCACCTTACTCACGGGCCACAGATAAAGCACAAAATAATAATCAGAGCCAAGACAGTTCTAACTACGAAGTAGCTATCTCTAGCAGTAATCTAACACCTGATTTGCTAAATTTATCCTTATTACGAAATAAAAATAATGCCATTATGTACGATATAGGTAGTCAACCACTCTTCCCAATAAATGAAGAAGAAAGATGAAGATCCTTGATCACTTTTCTTTATTTAATAAAAATAGTACGAGTCGCCATATGGGCCTGCTATATACATGTGGATATACTGTTAATTTTTGATATTTTTTTGTTGTGTGGTAGCATCACATGATTTTGGCGCTAAAATTTTACCAAAAAAAATAAAAAATAAAGTCTTAGAAAATGTCTGATATTTCTAATAAAAAATGGATTGCATAATACAGATGTTCAATCAACATATCACATGTTATACCAAAGAAGAAAATCAAAGGTCATAGAACTTCTGCATGTACAGTGGATTAGCGATTTTATATATATTTATTAAGAAAAAGCCAATAGCACTTTAACAGTAGCTTAATAGCAGTTATCTAGAATTTAATACATACTTGTAAACACATATGTGCATTATTTTAACATAACCACATCGCTAGTATTTATTATGTGTTATACTATCATATGATTTAATAGTCTCATGGGTCTGCTTTTCTGCGATCACTTAACATCAGGTTTATCAATTTGAATATGTAATAAAAACTTGACTGGCTTTAATAATCAATGGCCTGCATTATTGTTTTGCAATAACCCAAAGGGTCTAAATTTTATGCAGTGTCACTCTCCTGCAAAATCATTTCTCATAGTCGATTTTTGTTAACAGTTACTAAACGAATAATTACTAAAAGCTTTATTATACACAATCTTATAATAAGAAAAGAGATGAATGGGGCTTAAAAAGGCTATAAGAGAGAAGAGTACAACATTCCTTATCAGTAGTTTTACCCAAATTCATATGTCATGTGGGGCTTGGAATCCCCAGATCTTGAAGATCATTAACTTTTTCACTTCACAGGAGCGATCGTCAAATCTAAGGGGATTTAATTTATCTATAAAACAACAAAATAGATTTAGTATTTGGAGCTTATAACCGAACGGAGTTGCTTTGTTAAGTGTGGACTAGCATTGTGTTAGGATAACACAATTACTAATCATATAACTTTTTTTCTGGTAGGTTTTTAGATCTAACAAATGGATGGTATAAAAAGAAGCAAGTTTCCACCTTAAGATAAGTTAGCAATAACGTTAATTTTTTTTGCTCATATTTTTTTAAGTAATTTGTATTATTTTATTTTACTTCAGCTATGAAACCGAATTTTTTCTTACTATGATTTTTTTGTATTTAGGTACGAAAAATAAGCAGTAATAAAAAAATTGCCACCACCAAGACTAATGACACCAACACCACCCCCAAGACTAATGACACCACCATCATGAGTAATAATACCACCACCTCCATGACTAATGATAGTAACCTCTCTGAGAACTATTATGTCTCTCAAACACCCCCAATCCAAGACCTAGCCAAAGGACATCTAATTCTAATCGTCAACGTAGAAGTAGGAGAAACAGATATAGTAGAAGGTAACTTTTATTAGAAAGCGCTCTTCATATATTTGTAAAACTAAGGCTAAAACTCATTTTATCAGGCCATGTCTGTGTATTAAATTAGACGATTCAACCTATGACCCCAAAGAAGATGATGACTATAACATTGATAAAGGCAGACTCTTGGACAATTTTTCAGAAGAAAATTCAGAATGGTGTAAGGAAAATGATTTCAATGAGTATGAGAATCCTGGACAACGACAAGAAAGGCTAAATCAAAATTAATAAATAGTTCATATTTTTGTCTGCAGTATTTAACTGTAATGTATTTTTTTATTTGTATATTAATTCGGCAATATTATTTTTTATAATAATAAAGTGGGGTCCCATGGCCTTGCTATTTTTTATTTTTGCATAATTTTTGCAATGTAATTTGCGATTATTAATTAGTGAAAATAATAGAGTCCATATCTAATTACCTTATCAACCTATGTTTTTACGGTTACTATTTGGATTGAATTTTGATATTTATTTTTATAACAATAAAGATGATAAGTTTTTCACTACAATATTCACCACTTCCCCACTCACCCTCTATAAAATTTCTTATATTCTCTTTTTTATAATCATTGTTGTATATAGGACAGAGTACAGATCTATTAAAATCAAAATAATTACTATATTTAAAACTATGTTTCAAAGTTAAATAAGGAAATCATTCTAATACCATTTCAATAACATGTTGTTTTTCTTCTGGAACTTTAGGTAGAACAGAAATTGGTGATCGAGATTTTGATGGCATAGACTGAACATTTACTCACAGTACAAATAAAGTTTTCTCCTCAAAAGATTCAAAGGGTTTGGAATCCATTCAAGGATCAAGACCAGTTTCTTTCTTGTATTTTTTATATAACTTGGAACGAATTTTGTTGGTTAAAACACTTGGTAATCTAGTAAATTTATAATTCTATTCCAAATATTCGGGAGTTAATGTTTTATTGGACTTTGTCTGTGTATTCATGTTATCATTTATGTAATTGTGCATCTCTTTAAATTAACAAGATTTAACAAAAAATATGTCTCAGAGAGACATCTTAAAGACTTAAGTGAATTGTATTAGCATAAAATAGCAGAGCTGTTGCCTATAGCAACTAAAATTTATGCTATTACCTCAATTTCAATTCCACGCTGTTCACATTTAACATAATAGGATCCAATTTCATATCTACCTTCTATGTCTTCGTCATTATGTTTTAATTTGCATAAAGAACATAATGTCTTATCAGTAATTCCGTAATAATCTACATTTTTACTATTACTATCTTTATATAAATTAGAATACTGTTCTAGTATTTTATTATAGAAATAGGTACGATTACGAGTTAGATCCTTGTATTGAGATGCGGATGAGGCACTTACCTTGATTTCTGATAATTTTTTTGAGCTAAAAGAATTAGTGGTCTGAGATGACAAATCACATACTTTAGATATCAAGATCTGATCGTGACTATTGGTCACAGTTTTTGAAGTTACATGATTAATAATGTATTGAATTTGAGCATTTGTCAATCCTGAAATAGTACGAGCGCTATATGAAATTTGTTTAATTTTAGCTATACCTACTCCTCCTCTTCCAAACAGTGTAAGGATTTTTCAAGCTCTTTGTGTTTTCTTACATAAATTTACATCTGTAATATTAGGTAGAAAAAATTTTATTTCCTTATATATTTTTGTTCTTGCCGTTTTATCTGTAATCTTGCCGTCAGTTGTAAGGCTTTTAACCTTATTTTCGAATTCAAGTGAATAGTAATACCAGTATAGAATCTCTTTTTGACCTTTTTTAACTGCTTTATCTAACAAATATGAGAGACTTTGTGCAGAACCTGGAATTATATTTTGTATACAAGACTTGCTAATTTTACCAGGTCCACTGATATCTAAAGATGTGGAATCATTTTTGGAAGAAATGACACTCTGTGTATGATTATGGGATATCTCTTGTATTAAATTTTCTACTATTTGATCATCTGATTTGAATACTTCAGAGATATTAACAGAGTTTATATAAACATTATTTTGATCGTGATCATTAGTCACAGTTTTTGCATCAGATGGTAATAGTGATGGTATAATCTCTTCTCGATCGTGACCATTGGTCACACTATTTGCATTACATAGTAATAGAAGTGGCATCAGCTTTTCTAATTCTGTCGAGGAAGCATTTTGATTATCTAAAGATAAGTCTGGATTTTGATGAGTTTTTGACTCGAGGCTATGCTTCTTCTGAAGTTTCTCCTGATTTCTCTCTCTTATCATATTACTAACCCTTTCCTTTTCTATCCGATCCAGAAAATCGTCCTTCTCTTTATCTTCTGATGAATTAGGCTCTGTATGGATAGATTGGCATACATCAGAATTTGGTGCATTTTCAGATGTATCATCTGTCTGTTCAGAAATATTATTAGAATTAACTTCGGGAGAAATAGCACTTTGTGTCTGCTCTAGATTTACAGAGTTAGTGCTATCATCTTCACCAGAGTGATTTTTAATTGACGGTGAAATAAGTGATTGTGAAGTTACTGAAGCCTGTTTAATTTGTGAAACATCCCATTCCAGTTTAGCAATAAGATCAGTTTTTTCTTTATCACTCTGCTCTAGTTTCGCGAATCTGGCCTCAATGTCTTCTTTATCCTGTTTTAATTTTGTATTCTTAGTCTTGATCTCAGCATTCTCCTTCCTAAGTTCTGCAATCTCAGCTAAGAGCTTGGCATTTAATTCCCTTAATAAATCGTTGGATTGAGCGTTCGACATGTTCGATAAATTATATACAAGAACAGAAATATTCAAAAGCTCGTTAGTAAATTGTATATAGAAACAGTCAAGTAAAAAATTGGGCTGATTGTGACCAACGGTCACGGTTTTTTTGCCAAGAAAAAATTTTTATTAATATCATTGAATTTAATCCAACAAACGTAAAACGCAAAGAAAAATACTTTTATACAGATTAATCTATATCATTATCAATACATTAAAATAAATACACATACAAAAGTAAACGCGATTATGTATGCGAAATCGGCCACCAGGGCCAGCTTTATTGATATAGAGAATATAAAAATAAAACAGATATAGGATATATTCTAAAAATATGCACTTTTTTGTTTAGTCAACCTTCTGGTTTTACTATTCTTCCTGGATCTTTTTTGTTCCGCTTCTTCTCTACGCGGTGAAGAGACAGTTGGACTTGGATTAACGTTTCGGGGTGGATGACTACTAGCTTGCTCTAATGCTTGCATGAGTAAACTTTTGTTTACAATTAATATATTCCTCAAAGTCAACAGTAATCGTATAAGGGGTTTTACTCTCCATGATGTGTTTGATGACAGGGGTATTTCTGCATGATCAAGATGGAAATACCTAGGTATTCCACCTGCATCTTTTACCAAAACATTCAAGTATATGCTCTCACCACCTACCTGAATCCCAACAATACCGAACTGATTACTAGTTGGTCTACATACCGCGCTTACAAAGCTTACACCATCTAATGTTTCTCTCCAAAGCTTTGTATCATCATCTGCTTTTTTCGTGGCATCGCAGACGATACGTGAACACTCAACATATAAAATCTCAATTATTTTCTTTTCGTACTCCTCTAATACCATAACATCAGGCTTCTTTCCCATTCGCTCTTTACTTGTTCCAATGTTTCTGCGCGCCTTACTTGCCAAACTCTGGCGTTCTGCAGTACTTAAACAAATACGACCATTTGGCAGACCCCCTAGAGCAGCTCGAAGTAAAGGTACTACTACATCTGTAACTTAAGTCTCTTCACTTTGCTTATTGCAGGATGTACTTGTTGCAAATGCCGGATTATTCCATATCTCACTGCTAGTTAAGATATATTGGGAAATTATCTTATAATTGTTTGCACGAAGGAAAAATACTGATGAAGTACTTACAGAACACCTAAAATACGCTCTGATATTTTTACTAGATCGGTTTCGCTTTCCTTCCATCTTTTATTATGAAAAACATTCCCCATCTCTCTTGAATCATCCGATTTGTTGAAATTCTCCACGAACTCATTACACTTGGACGCAACTGAAACGGGAAGAGCACATCTCATATTTTCACGCGGTTCCTATGATTTGATAAGAAAATGGTAAAAAAAGCAAGTATAGATAATATACTCTACATTAAATATTTACCAAAAAGACACGCTTCTGTCTCGGCCCCAAGCTTTCCACTATATTCGAATTATCACTAAGTACCATGCTCGCTTCTGGATCTTCCCACGAAAGATCCGAAGGATCTATATCATTAACCCTTTTCTTGAGAGCGTCATATAACGACACGTCTGTATCTATCATAGGATGCTAAAGCATAAAACGATCTTTTATAAATTTTAAAATATGAAAAAAACGATTACAAGAAATACAAAATTCTCTAAAACCCACATTAAGCTTTTCCTTCAACAGATTAAGATTCTCTTCTATTTCCTCCCCCGCATGATCAGGTGTTGATTCCCTATCCTGTATAAGTGGTTAGTTTATATCAGCGTGTCAATATATATTACAGGATACTATACCAAATTCAACACCTTTATTTCATTCAATCCCACTACGCTCATATATCCGCTTTCCATCGATGACAAATGTAAAAAAAATACCGGCATGTTAACTTAGTGAACACTAGGATTTAATAGACGAAACTACTTTCGCATATGATCAGATATTCTAATTCTTAGCAGAAAGTCACGCAGGGCCAGGGGGGAGCAGAAACCCTCGACATCTGAAGGATACTCCTTTATCCTAACAACATCGCTCTTCCGGGCCGGCATTCCCCGACTTTCAGCAATGACATACTAAACTAAGCTGGACTCTGCCGTAGGTTCATCAGTTCATATAATCTACATGGTTATAAAGTGTATATATATATACTAACCTGTGGTAAAATTTCTAACACTTTCATTCTTCGTTTGGGATTTTCTATTTTAGTCAATGCAGAATTAACCGCGCGATCTGCCAAGTCTCTAACAATATTATATGGAGGCACGGTGCTGTCTTCCATTGTCAAATAAACCACTGTCGCACCACACATAGCATCGAAGGTTTCTTTCATCAAAAAATTTTCAATTTTTACGATTAAGTTAGACATGGTAAAACAGTTTTATAAATCAAAAAAAATTATATATTGCTCGATTTGAAGGTGAAAAGAAATAGACAAAACACTATAAGCGACGGATAACCATACTGCCCTTTTTATGCATTTTTCTTCATTTATTCTCTGGAACTCGAAAGTATAGGAAGGTTAGAAGCATGTGCTCTTACATCATAAAATTTCGATGAAGTATGTATTTCCATGCAGAGAAATTTCTATCGATGATGCAAAGAATTCTATAAATTATGTAAGTATATACATCACGAGTTATAGAGCCATGTAAGACTTGATACTCCCATAGTACACGTATACATTGTGCGTATTTAGGCCTAAAATAAATTTAGAACAGGCATGAGTTAAATTGACCAACTTCGGTTAGAGACTAATT